GGGTTTAAGCTTGTGCTTTTCAAAGCTCTATTCGTGGCAAAATACAAAGTTGTTATGAAAAATGAGAGAAATGGACTGAAATAAAAAGTAGGTCAGTATGGAATATTCAAAACACAACGCTTAGAAATAATAAACCATGCAATCATAAATTAGACAATGACTGGCAAGGCCTCAGTTCAGCAAAAAATGACCTGTATTTTGGAAGATCTCAAAATAGCATCAGTCAGCAATATTATACAGTTATAGAAAAAATGCTTCACAAGAGAATGTCAGCATTTGATGGGTTCTTTCAAGCAGTTACAGAGAATCTGTAATACTTTTTTTTTCTTTTATGAGTTATATAATTTCATGAAGGATCACATTAATCTTCTAAAAATAAAAATAAACGCAAAGACTATACTTATGAAGGAATAAACTGCACAATTAAAAATCTGAAACAACTATTTAGTTTGTAGTTCTGCAGGGGGGGATTTGGGAGCCATGGGGTGATTTGAGCTGGACATGATTCATAAACATCACATAGCTACAAAAAAACCTCAAATATTGTTCTGAGAAGTGTAATATATAAGTACACACTCTACGTCACGGCCTGAGTTGGAATGCTGTATATTATACGAGAGTACAGGAATAGAAAAGATGGGAGCCTGACCCATTAGAGATCTAATGAGGAAGATCTATGAGGAAATGCAGGAGGAGATGTTTATTTCTTTTTTTCTTAAGCTGTAGATAGAAGACTGATGGGAAACCTCAGTCATAATATTTTAAAAAGTCAAGATATGTAAAAAGCTACAAAGAGAAGGGAAATCAATTGTCCTTCACATGCCCTGAGAATAAGACAGAAGGGTTTACTGAGGTAAGGAAGCATAACTTAAAGAAAAGCTGTAGGAATAGTGAAAACAGAGGCTACTGTTATATAGGGATAGTGGACCCTGTTCCCAACAAAACTTTATCCAGGATCATCTTGGTAAATCTTTGAGTTATTTTCTTCATGAATCAAGTATGGGCAGTGGTGACAAGCCCAGTGCCACAACACATAGCGACAGCTAGCACACCGAATCTGCACAGTAATTTTCTGAGGAACACAACAGAACTGCCAGTGAATGATGAACTACCACAATTGCTTCAACTTGCTGTCATCTTCATAACTAGGCATTTTAAAGAACAAGTTAGAGCAGGTGCTGCCAGGAGTATATGATACTGCTCTCCGAGACTGGAGGCTGGAGCACAGCAGCAGCCTTGCCTAGGGAAGGGCGCTGTGGTGGAGGCACTGAGCTGACCAAGGAAGGAGCTGACGAAGGACGTGAGCAGACTATGGCCTATTAAAGAGGAAATTTAGAAGATCAACAGCTTTGCAGAGGCCAGAGCTCGTGTTACAGGGAGTAAAGGACTGGCAGAGGCTACACTCGGATCAATACAGGTTGGATACTCCACTATGGAGGAGGATGGAGATTTATGACTTCTAGCAAAAGGAAGAAGGCTATCCTTTGATATAGGGCCCTGGTAATAGGTGAGAAGGTATAAGTTCTTTGGGCCAGCTGACCCTAGTCCTTGTGTTGACACTAAGAAAAAGTGGTGAGTGTTAGTTGTGGAGACTACCTTCTGCAGGACAGACACATCTGCCAATCAGATTTGCTGTCTTGGGTTTTTTTTTTTTTTGCTTATCGAGGGCTTTAATTCAAGACGATGCAGAGGCTATCACGGCTTGCCTGGCCTTCATACTTATAACTATCCTTGCTGCTCATCCATTTTGCATCCCTGTTGTGGCAACAGTACTGCCAAGGGAGACCTTAGGTCTATCAAAATCAAGTACAGGGAGCTGAAAGGTGAGAGTAAAGGGCATCTGATCCCAAGTGGTGTACTTCATGATCCTGATGGTCTAAGAAAGAGACTAGGGTGGGAACAGATGTATCTTGTATGTCAGTTTGTGGTTGTGTAGGTGGCGTCACGGGTAGGGTTTTGTCTTTACAGTCACAGGACTCTCTAAGTGAACAAGCAGCATTGCTCATGCTGGAATGTTGCATATTTTTCACGGTCCATGTTGCAAGCATCTACACTGGTGGCCCATGTAGCTTGGCAGTCCATATCACATACTATCTTGCTGTAAACTTTTCACTCTTCAGAAAAGGTAACCAGGATGCCAATATTGATATTGCAACAATGCATTTAGGGTGGGCTGTGTGTGAGAAAACTTGCCCGCATTCCACTGAAATGAACTGGACGTGGATGTGTATTTGAGCCTGAATGAAGGGTTAACACAACCTTAAGCTTGCTCCCATGCTGTAACTCTTCATGGGAGCAAAGTTGCATCCAGATATTTCAGATCTTAATTTACTTTTGATCCTAAATATGGGCTTAAAGGCTATATTTTAAATATAATACTATATAAAGTCCAATGCACCTATCAGTAAAGATAGGTATGAATATACATAACAGATTAATGAGTGAACTTGATTAGTAAAGTGAAAGCTAACTTCGACAAATTTAGTTCAGCATTTGATTGTTGTATAATAATACTATGATACTTCCACTTTTTTCAGAATGAAGTCTGCAATCAAATACTAAAATGGTGGGAAAATAAAGCTCATTGTACTGCAGGGGATGTCCTAGGCTACTGAGACCAGTTCACAGGGCAATAGAATGATGAAAAAAATAACCTGAAAGGGATAATGTGGAATTCCCTGGTTCAACCATAACAATGCCCCAACGTGCATCCAATTGCTCATCATTCTGTAGTGGAATATATAATAATGATTTTATAACATTTTTTCCTTCTTTTTCTTACAACTGCAAGTGGAAAAAAAGTTTCATTTTAACTTTGTGAATAAAGTATTTGGGAAAAATAATATGCTCTTAACCAAAAATCTATTCCCTGGATAAAGAAGATCATTCTAAATATTTAATAAGGTATCCTCTCAAAAAGTAACAGTGATATTTCCAAATATATCAGTATGTCTAGCAATGCTGGCAAATTTTACCATCTGTGAAAGTAACATAGCAATTAAAGTTTACCTGACATTAATCTGCATGCTTTGGATCCTTCAATGAACATATGAACAATTCCAGACAGATTATGTACATGCTCTTTGATAGATAGGTAGCATCAGGGGAAATATATGATACCTAGCACTACAGTTTTGGAGATCTCTAATTTAATGCAATGAAAATGATAATAATTTAAATAGTAGTAATTGTATGGTACCTTCTAAAAAAGCTTGTGTGTATTCAGTGTAAGAACAAATAGAAAACTTGATTCTTCAGAAGCATGTCTGATATCTCTCTTTGCTTGTATTCTGTGCAGGCTGTGCTGTGTACCTTATGTCACCCCCCAATCTTATATTATAATTCATAAATAAATTCTGTAAGAAAGAGAGAAAAGAATTCACAGACTGATCACACTGGGACACTCCATTATTTATCTGTATTTGTTGTTATTTTGCTGACACCACTATCAACAACAACTCAATACAAATTACATTTTCTGGTATTCACAAATACATCATAGACTGACATTTCATCATGATTCTGAAGGCTTTTGAACTTGTTTTCTAAATGAGATAAGGTTCTAGGGACATTAAAAACTGACATAAAAATACAAAGGAAAGACATAAAATCATTTGTCTTTCCTAACATATAGAATTGTTTTAATTTATGGATTTAGTTTTATTTGCTAGTTTTAAAATAATTTTTACAGAAAATATAGAAATTGGTCAATTTTTGCTTTTCATAAATATACGTCTGTTTAGAGGTGCGAGGCATGCCTTCATTATACATCTTTCACAATTCATGTCCTGAGAATCTAATATTAAAAAAATGCTTTTTCCCTGTTTGAATAATTACTCCAAGGTGTATGTCAAGAAACTGAATAGAAGAAAAGAAGAAAAAAGTTTAGATAGGAACACTTTCATTTTATACATGAAAATTATTTTTTTTTATTTTAGTTACAAAGAAGACATAATTTATTTTCTTCTGCTCATCAAACTGTGAAATAGCTTGCTTGTAGTCAATAAGTTTATATCAATCATATGTTAAAAATTAGCTGCAGAATTCAATGTAAAAATTATATATATTTATATATATATTTAAAAAAGCTTTTGAGGTCTGCATAGATTACTAATCTAGTTCTACCCATTATTTATGTAATGCTTTAAAAATAATGCCTTGAGCAGGAGTTGCAACTTAATTATTGAGTGGCACTCTTCAACGGAAGGTGCTAACAGTACATAAGATAATTAGCAATATTTGGAATGAATGTAGAATAAGGTTATATATCAAAGTACATCTAAAAACTGAGAAAATCAAGATGCTTATTCCTCTTATAGGTTTATCTTTGGATTTTTGTTTAATTATGTCTATTTTCCTTCTTTTAACAACATACATCATCTTCATGTATTTTACTTAAGCTACATAATTTATACATGGTGAAGATCTGACATGTTCTATTGTATATATTTGTTATGCCTCATGCAGACTCTGCAATTTTTTACTCCTCCTCTCCACAGTTGAAAGCACCAGACAATGGAACAGATATAATTGATGAACTGTCTTTTAAATTACCATAGCAGCATTCACAAAAGGTATCATAAAAATATTAAAGTGGGTTTAATACAAGCAGAATGCTTGAAAATAGATATATTATTTGCATACAGCCATGAATGCCTTCCCAGTTTCTGGGTGTCAAACTGCAGTATGTTCTTAAGGCGAAGTGAACTGAGTCTATTTCTAGTATCAATGAAACCTTTGCAATATCATTGAAAATGGTGCTATTGTTACTATTCCAGGAATAAAGATATGTATTTTTAGTATTGAATAAGAAATGTGTGAAATTTATTTTTTTATTAATAAAATACAGGAATTCTGACTTCCAGTTTCCGCCTGCAGTGGAATCTCTATTTTACTGTGTCTTAGTTTTAATTACAAAAGAGCACTTGGAAAAAAAAATCATGTTAATAGCACACATAAAGATAAAGAAAATCAAAGATTTTATCTTGTTTTCTTTGTAGGTTTTTCAGGCCAATATTGTGAAATAGAAATGAATGAATGTGACTCAGCTCCCTGTTTGAATGGTGCTGTCTGTCAGAATGATGTCAACAGCTATGCTTGTTTTTGCCCTGAAGGTAAGTTGTTCAAAATAATTTATTTTTATTATTTGTGACAATTTGCAAAATTGCCTGCAGTCTGCGAAACATCTTCTTGACAGTCTTCAAAACCATTGTTAAAATTTCTTTTCTAAGAAAATAAATTATTCTTTCTGAAGTCTCATTTGCATCTTCATCCATCAAGGCACCCAATAAAGCAAACACTCTCATAAAGAATGGAGAAAGATACATTTGTAAGTGCTACTTTTAGCTGACAAAATATTCAAGATTTTAACAATGTCTGAATGAGTGAAGAATGCACTTAGTTTTCCTTGGTCTCAAGGAAAAGGTAGTTCAAGGAAAAGCTGAAGTGCTTTAAATGATTTAAACTTACAGTGTCTTTCTGAGATACTTTCATGCATGGGTTCTGAATAATTTTTATGATTCTTTTAACTGTTTTTAGCAAAAAAGAAGAAGTCAAGATTGTGGTTTATAATCTGGTAGTTTTTTCTGCATTTTAAGTGTCCTTATACTTCCTTGTTTTAATCTTAAACAATACTATTTTGTATGTATGGACTGATGGTGTGTTGATTTCGTAGCTTATACTATTTCATATATTATATATCAGTACAAGCATTCTAATGATTATGATATCTTCAGAAAGTCATCATTACAGAGGAAATTGCTACAAATAACTCTCGTAAGTACAGCCTCCATCATTAGTTAGTTTAAATTAAAAGCCAAAACAAGTATTGGAAGGCAGTTGAAAATTAAGCTTGGAAAAGATCATTCTGCTGTTTACTCTGCTTGACTGACTTATACCATGTGAGCTAGAAAAATAAATCTTGGCATCCACGTTGATAATTTTGTGGCTTACTTGTTACCAGTGAGACATGGGTCTGATTAAACTCTGATTGCAAATGAGAACTGTTACTATATACATTATTAATAAACTCAGGGTAATTCCAAAGTTTTATGACTTGGGGACTAGTGGAAATTGGTTCCATGGTCAGTTTGAGAAATTATCAGAATATGCCTTGCACTGAGGGTGCTGATAGCTTAACATTAGTCATGGTCTTCCTGCAGCCATGGCCTGTGACAGCGCTAATGATAGTCATTTTGTAGCGTGACCATGAATTAGAATACGTTTACAAGAGCATAAAATGTCAGATACTGGAGTGGACATTCTTCAGCAATCTCAAGTATAAGAAATCATTTGTACTTCTTAGTTGACTAAAAATCACTTTTATGTGAGAAACAAATAGAGAAAAAGTGGAGAAGTAACTATTTGAGAGTTTATTTTTAAAACTATAATCAGATGGATAAATCCAAGCACAACTTATGTTCTTCTGTAATTTTCTCAAAATGTATACATTGGCAGAAGATACATAGATTCTTAGCTAGATAGATGCATATTCTCTGCTGAACACAAGGTTCAACTTGTTTGGTGTAAATACTGAATCTTAAATTTGTTCTTTCAATTATTAGCTCTTTTAAAAATATATTTGATGGTCAGATGTAGCTTTTTATTGATAGACTAGAAAAATCTTTTAGAAAGGTAAGACTTCTAGATAAGTTTCTTACAGGAGTAAATTGATAACAAATTCTTATTTAAAAAAAAAAGACCCAACCAAATGCTATAGAAAAGAAGGTACAGGTGTAACTGAATAATACAGAGCGCTCTGTTTTTTCCAACCAAGGATTTGAAGGTCTGAACTGTGAAATCAACTTTGATGAGTGCATTTATGGCTTCTGTAAAAGCAATTCAACTTGTTTAGACCTGGTTGCAGACTACAGTTGTGTTTGTCCTCCAGGATTCACTGGTAAGACTCCTTTTAAATCTGGATAAGACACTAAAGAGTTAAAATTTTTGTTTCCTTTTCTGAAATTAAAAGAAATAAAGTCTTCCTGATTGCATAGTGTTGATAAAAATAAATTCAGCTCATTTCAGTGTTCTATTGATAATCTGCTTTAATTTCCTTACTCATATGATGAAAACTGAAAGTAGTGTGTATTCTATTTGATTAACTCATGGAAAACAAAATTGTATGTTGCCTAGAAAAAAATGTTCAGAAAATATCTAGTTTTTGAAAAATATCATTTCAAAGTTTTCCAGGTGAACAATGATAGTTGTAGCTGATATTCATCTTCAGAGGATCATATCACAACCATGCTTTTTTGGGATTCAGATAGAAATGAGAATACAATTTTAGCAACGGGACACTTTATTCTCTTCCAAAAAGATGCCAGCACATGCTGATGATAAATAGCTTGCAAATTGCACAATTAGCTGTGTGGCTAACAGATTTAAGAAAATTGTTCTTGCATCAGGAGCAAATCTTCATGACAATACTCTATGCTACAAGTAGCTAAAGGCTTCATGGGGAAATCAATAAAACTGTCTCAAAAATATGTCATCTCAACAATTAATATGCTGTGATGTCCGGGACTGGAGCATACTGACTTTCAGTTGCTGTTCCAGAGAGGCAAATTGAATAGCCTTAGTCGTGAGAGGTAACAAGAAGACAAGCAGTAGCAGCAAAAATTCTTCTTCATCATTTGCTGGGCAGTCTCAGAAACTATATAAGGTTAGTAGGCATTATGTAAGAACTCAACGGGTATGTACAGAGAGCTCAAAATCTGTGGTGACCAATGGAGAAGGAGGAAAAAATGAAAGAGATGTGGAGGAATTGAAGGTGTGGAAGAAGTGGGTAGAGCGGTAAGAGTAGGAGGCAAAATTAAGTTAGAAGAAAATAAAGCATTTCAGACTGATAGTAACACCAGTGATGATAGCTGGTTTGGGAGCAGTTCATATGTGTTTTGTCATTGGTTACAAAGAGGTAGATGGGACATACGTAATGTGAGATGATACACAGAAATTTAGAATCTGTGAAAGTGATATAGTTACAATTCCCACAGATGTCTGTGATCTTGCTTAATTCCTGCCAACATATTCTAATATTGTTCAGTTTTGCAAAACTGAGATGTGCTCCATTTTCTATAAGATTGTATTCTCCTTTTATTTTTTCTTTGATATCTGGCTTTACTGTCATAAGCTTATATAGTGCATGTCTATTTTGTGTTAATGATGAAAATAATGGAGGTGATCACCACGTATTTGTTCATATTAACAGGAACATCTTTAATAGACTTTTAAAAGAATGAACTTTAAAAAATTCTTACTGATATATTGCAGGGATCAAAATGGAAAAATCTGTAGTAGGCCCCCAAAAGCCAGTTTTAATTAAGGACTGCAGGAAAAGCTGTTCCGTTGAAAATACAGCTATCCTCCGTTGGGATATGATGGGATCCACATTACAGAATCTGAAAGTATAAACTGAATTGTGGGTCTCACCAGAGCAGCCTGGAGCAGGGTATGTTCTCCTTAGGAGGAATACTTTATCCCAGAGTCACACTGGGGCAAACATTTTGCCAAGCATATGTCTTTTCCTTGAAGTTCTGTTTCCAGATAAGCCATTTCAAGACAGAAAGGAGTCAGGCTCTGTCAACAAAAAAATGGAGTACCAGTGACTTATGGGCAGATTTTAATGGATACCTTGAGGCCCAAGTTGAAGTCATAGAAGTGTTCATATGACCGGATAATACTACATTTTTAAAAGCTCCATTTTCTGCCTTTTTTCCTCTGTGTGAGGGGGTTTTCACAATTCGTGCGCTATTGATCTCACTTCATATTGGCTTTTTTCTGAAACAGGAGAGCTCCCACAGGGAAATAAATCAGCTAGTGCAGTGATTGACTTGATCTGACAAAAAATGGCCAAACTGGAATAGGGGAAAAGGGTCTGGCTAATTATATTGAATACTTTCATCTGTGCTCATGCTCTTTGGAGAGTATATGCACAAGCACTGTGGATATCAAGTTCACTCTCTACAGGCCTTGCAACAACTGCTTCATCCTCTCAAGAAAAAAAAAAAAAGTTGCTGATGCCAAATACTGAATATTTGAGCTTGTATCTTCCAAGAAAAAGAAACAATGATAAAAGAATGATATCTAGTAATATTTTGATTTGATATAGGATTTACTTAAGACTTCAGTATCATGCAGCTGGTTGAATTTTGTTTGACCGTTCAGCTATGGTACTATTTGTGTTCCACATACTTCTGGTATAAACATCCCTGGAGGATTTTGCCAAAATGACTGTTACACTCAAAATCTTTTTAAATGCAAAAGGAAACATACCATACATACATACAAGAATTTATTATTAGTCTAGTTATTGTTTAAGCAGCCAAGTAATTCATATTATGTAATTAATACAGAAAAGCCCCATTAACAATATAGTCAAAGTTGTTATACAAGAGAGTTTACTAATGTCTACCTCTTTTTCCTGGTGTTATGCTTACCCTGCCAATGGTCCTGTCCCTCCAAGGGTCAATAGTTTCAAACTTCTGAGGAAGTAGTGGGTGTTTATGCATCAGTCACCTGCATCCTGCAGGCTTTCTCAAGAGGAATAGGATGTTCACAGTGAAGGTTTCTTCCTCCTCAGTCTTGGGGTGCGCTGGGGTTTCTCTTTATACATCTCCCCCACCCCAGCCCACCTCCCCCTCGGGCAGTGTGGCAGCC